CCAAAAAAAAAACCCCAAAAAGAAAATGCATTTCATGTAAAAAGCTGCATTGTTCTAAACATCCAAAATGTTCGGCACACAACTTCATTAGATAAAAGATTAATTTAAAGATAAATGTCTTCTCTATGAAACAAAACGACTGCCGGACAAGCAAACCTTATCTTTGGCTTTTCATAACCAATAAATAGCGTTAGTATTTTGTAGTCCAGCCAACCTCTTTCTTCGGCATCAAAAGGACATCTTTTTAAAATTTACTAATTTTTCACTTGGAATCCTAAGCTTTTTGAGGCGAAAGAAAAATTCTTCCTATCTTTTGGATCCCCCAAGTGGATATCTGATAGATAAAAAGACCAGTTAAGTTCTTTGGCACAGACCACCAAAGTTTGTAAAAGTGAAACTTTGCCTTTGTATGCAAAACATTGGTGATACTTCACCTTTTTTTTTAACGACCGAGAAGTTTGGCTGGAGCCGACCCTTTGAGCCAACCGCAGCCTTCGAAACTCATGATGATGGGCCCACTCCTACCTTTCTCCACTTAAATACCAGAGTTAGTTCGGTTGGTGCAAGGCTCAAACGTGCGACCTAAGACACAAGTCCCTCAACCTTTGCCAATTGAGCTAACCCCCAGGTGCAAAAAGAAATGAAATGGAACCTAGTGATACTTCACCTTTTTATGCAAACATTAGGCAAAAGACTTGGAAAGGGCCTTCTAGAAAACATAAAGTAGAATAGCATTGCATCTATTACAGATATACAGATACTTACTAGTACTTGAAGTCCCTCGAGGATCAAAATCATCAAAATCTTCCTCATATTTGCTTGATGATACAGCTGCACTATGTGGAGGATTAGAAGTAGCTTTATCAGGTTTACCTACCCTCTTTGACGTCTTTGATCCACTAGATGAAACAGTGTCTTGAACATTGCTGCAAAATGTCCTTGAGTTTAAGAAAACGGGGATATAATGGAGTTTAAAGTGCAACAGTAGAACCATTGTGGAGATGATTGCCACTTAAACTTTAGTCAATTTGAATGCTAAATCTAAAAGTGATATAAAGAGGAAAATAAAGTTCGAACAGGTACGTATAAGCTGCATAAACATGCTGGACAGAGAACTACACAACAATTGAGGCCCAAAAGTATGCATAGAGTACACTATGCAGTAACCAATTCAGAAAATTGAAAACCTAATTGGGGAGAGAACCAATGAAGAAAAAGAGACAAGTTTCTCTCTTTTAGAATCAGAAGCAATAAGTAAAACTTTATACCCCCCCNATCCACATTCTTCACTCGCATCACTCTCTTCAGACACCATAACCTACAAACCCATCAACCTGCTTATGCCAGTAAAGAAAGCTACTGGATTTGGTAACTAGAGTACTAGACCATCATAATGCAGTTTGTCACTTTGTTTCTTGTAGAAGATTCTAGGCCCACAAGTTGGTGATGATAGTTCCCGAAGAAAAGTGAGGAAAGAAAAAACAAGTCCACTGGCTCTAGAAGTTCTTTGTCAATTATAATGACCTTGATTAGACAACAAAACAACAAAAAGTAATTCTAACCTACACATACATGGACTCAGGTATGATTAACTGATGGATATGTTAAGTTTCTAAAAAGGTTTTAGTGCATAGTTCGTCCATAGAGAGTGACCATAATCATGTATACTTCATTTAACATGGGTTTGCCGAGGCAATCAAAGAATCAGGGTTTAAAATTGCTTCTTCCCGTAAATCTAGAATATGCAAAAAAGAACTTGGAGGGAAAAGTCACACAGTAGCAATGAAATGATAAAGTGGAAGGACAATAACAAAAGATCTTCAGTCCCAAATGCTGCCAGAAATAGAACTTTTGGCCCTTTCCTTTACTGATCATTTTGTTTATTTTTAAAAAAGGTACTTTTTTTTGGTAATTTAAAAAAAAAAAACCTTTTGGCCCTTTCCTTACTGATCATTTTTTTATTTTAAAAAGGTACTTTTATTTATTAAAAAAGAAGATATATGCAATTGAATGGTTGTACATCAGTGCATAACAGGCTGTTGCAACTGTAACGGAACCAATAGTAAAAACACCTATGCCACAAACCCCAAATAGAAGGACAAAGTGAAGCATAGTAGAGAAAAAATAATCATGCTGACCTTCCATAACGAGAAGACCCCTTCTTTGATTTAAACTGGTCAAATTTATCTTCACCATACCGATCCTTTTCCCTGTAACTATCCTTAAATGAATCGCCATCACTTTTATTTCCAAAACCTCCATATCGATCACCACTCTGAAAGTTGCTGCTGCTATTTAGGGAGGCAGAGCTCGATTTAAATGTTACTCCAGAAGATGACAATCCAAAGTACCTAAAAGGTGGCATTCCATCATGACCATGCAACTAGTTACCAGGGACTCTTTGAATAATCAAGAGCAAAGTCAGACCATAAAGGATTAACTTACTTGTCGCGATTTGCAGCAGCTTTATTTCTAGCGTCTTCGATCTTTTCCTTGTTATTCAATAGTGCCACAATATTTTCTGCTTTCTTCCTCACATTGATCCCCATATCTTTCCCATTGGGTTCAACATACTCGAAACTTGTGAGAGACTTGAGTAGCAAAAGGAAAGAGGGAAAGAGGTAAGATACACGGGGAGGAGGGAAAGGACCACACTCCTTTAAGTATGACCACGGAACAACTGTCACTGGCAAAGAAATTTAACGCAATGACACAAAAATACATACAGATATCTGATAGGTATGTTCTACGATCTCATCAACAGCGCGTTCAGATCCGTGAGCCACCAAATACTCAACAACAGCCAAAGACTGGTACCAAAAGTATTTCACAACTATTAGACCTTATATAAGTTGTTCGAGAAGGTACAGAAATGAAACTCAAAATTTAAACAAAGAACCGACTATTGGGAGCTTGATATTTTAAACTTTTCTTCAGTTTTCTACAGGTTCTTAGGTTTTTACAATTAACTACAAAAAGTTGATACCGCAAAAGGATATAGTACACACCTTATAAACATAACGCCAATTCTTTCCTGTTTCAGTCAATCTTGTCCACAGGACATTCATAACCATCTGACACTCAGAGCTGCGGGATACACCAGTAATTGATAGCTCAATGAACTTACCATTATGATGAGAACAAATGAGAAAATCCAAAGAGTTAAGAATTAGCAACTATATTGATGAGGTTGTACAATTTTTTTGTAGCCTGAGCTATCTCAGCCAATGCAGTACCATGGGGGCCCCAAGGTTCATCATCCGTAGCGTCCAATACCTATTCATGTTATAATATTACATTATAATCAGAATATGAAGGGGAAAGGACAAAAAGAGCATAGGATGCAAATCCATTGTTTTTTGAAAGTGAAAAAGCACAAAAAAGAAATAAGCCTCAATTGCTTTAGGATTGAACTACACATAGGTGGACCGTCTTTTGGCTATGGCTTCATCTGAACCCAGAATTTTTGACACGAAATATAGATATATATGTAAAAACCTACTAAAATCTTAAGAAATATTAGATATGAACCCATAATTTTAACTGTAGAGTGAGTTCACGTTGAACCAATTAAATTTAAATTCTGGATCCGCCTCTTGTACTATAATAACTTTAATTGAAATATTATTTCCTAACAACCTGTAGAGCTACAGAATCTTTTGATAATTGAGATAGAGAAAGACAAGAGTGGACTGAGTAGAAGAAAAAAGCAAAAGAAAATCCAAAAGTAGAAGTAGCATAAGAGGAGGACTTGACAAAAAAATGAAGAGGAAAGAGTCATTTCAAAGGGAAAATAGGAACCTAAGAAGCAAATCTGAGAACTAGTGAAACAGTAGTAGTTAAAGAAGAATTGCTGCAACCCACAGAAGAAGAAGACAACAAAAAGTACACTGAAGTATGTCGGGAGAGGAGTCCTAGCACTCACAAGAGAATGCCCTATTTCCTTATCCTCCCTTTACCCTATCTCTTAAATCTTTAGGATCAAATTCAAAGAAACGATAGCTTCTCCATTACTTTGTGCCTCACTGTCCGAAGCGCAGACTTCTTCTGAATTCGCTTCATTTAACCCATGATAAGCGGTGGTCCCTCACTTCGCATGCTCGGTCGAAATTACTGTTAATAACTACATATAATACAGACATACAGTCCATACAACTAAAGTTTCCTCAGTAATCTCACCATGTAGTCAACGTTCATCACTATCTGATTCTATTGAATACATGTCGAAAGAAAAACAACAAAAAGAACCATGATCATATGCCCAGATATCTCGTCATTGACATTTCAGCACAGACATAATTATGACTTTCACGAATCTCATTTCTGCATCAAATGATAGATATTACACCTCACAATGCATGTGACAAAGAGGTTATTGGCATCTACCACAACATAATTAAGTAGAAATTTGTTGATCAACAAGTACGAAACAGAAAAACCGGATCTAGTTCAGAAAAAACAATAAATTTCAGACAAATCCTGAGTTTATTAATCAGTCAATGTGCTTTCCTTGAGCCATCTAGTTCTTTGTTAATCATCAATTACTATATAAGATCAAGGAATAAATATTATTTCTAAACTAAAACACATGATCCATTGATATCGAAAAACAACAATTTGAGTTCACCTTTTTTTAGTCCTTTGAAACGACACGTGCTACTCCTTTTCTGATAATGGGTGCACTGATACTTTTCTTTTTTTGATAACTGAGAAATCCCCGAGGTCTAGCGGCACACGATTCGAAACTAATGGGTCCGCTTCTCTATGTAAATACCAAGTTTTTGTTTGTGGCAAGGTTCAAACTCGTGACGTGCGCCTATTGTGTAATGGGTGCACGTACTTTGCACTTACAACAACAACAATAACAACAAACCTAGTGTAATCCCACAAGTGAGGTCTGGGGAGCAAGATTTTACGTGGAAACCCTTCTGAATAAGGGAAAAAACACGGCCAAGAAGAGCAACTGATATCACTATAGCGAGGAATTTTACACTGTGTAGTAACGAGTACGAATACTCCTAAGACCACTACATCCTCAAAAGAAATAAATACTCTTTTGCTTTTTCCACCTCACTACAATATCTCTTATTTTTCTTCACAAGCTATTTTCTTATAGCTTATGGAATACCTTCGTCTCTCTCTCTTTTCTCTCTTTGTTGGTGTGTAGAAATGAGAGTTAAAACTCTCCTTTTATAGC